AAGTATTTTGGGACTACATCTATGACATTGGCCCAACTAGTAGACTGTTTTACGAAGAAGAAATGGGAAACAGATGATGATGCGTTGAAGATAACAGTTCTTTATTTTGTGCACAGTTTCTTACTTTCTCAACTCAAAACAAAGGTTATTTCACGGTCTTACATTGATTTGGTTGAGTGCGGTGATTTTAATAATTATCCTTGGAGTATAGATGTTTATAATGCTACAATCGACTCGTGTTCCAACAAGTTTCAAGATAAGCCTTCTTTTTATAGACTCGGTGGCTTCCCGTTGGCTTTACAGATTTGGTTGTATGAATGTTGCCCCAAGTTTGGATGGTCACTTTGCTGATCATAATGGAAACAAACTTTCGCGAATTTTGAATTGGGTAGTCATGGGTCAAATACCGAATGAGTGAGTTGCTTTGCAAATGTCTAGCTTGCAACACGAGCAGGTAATTTTCTCATATTTTTATTGCCTCTCTTATTGTTTTGGTACAATAGTTTAGTCACGGGTAGTTGTAGCAATATCCCAGATCAAACATATACTCTGTTGGTATACATGTATACCATATTGGTAATTTGGTATCATATGGTAATAGGGATCTTTTCTGCTACTTATACTTTTAATTTTTTCATACTTTTATTGCATCTTTTAATATTTTGGTACAGTAATTTAGTCACATGTAGTTGTAGCAATATCCCAAATCAATGATATACTCTTATCATATGGTAATAGGGATATTTTATCTTTCCATGTTTTATTATCATTTCTATTTCTAACTAGTGTGCTTAATAATTGCAGCTAAAGAACATCACCCCAACTGATGTTGATAAGCAACTATTTTATGTGCGTGGTCTAAATTTTGAAATTGAAGTTGATTGCACTGACAGTCAGCCTGATAACTTTCAGGTGTTTGGCACTCAATTGTCAAAGACACAAAGTATGCATGAAAGTATTGGAGGTGATTCTGAACCTACCAATGCTGAGGTAATGAATGAGTTACAAGTTTTGAAGCTTTTTGTAGAGACCAAGTTTGAGGAGGTGCTTGCAGCTATTGGTAGGCAGTCAATGAAACCAGAGGAAAATTCAACGGTATTTAGGGGTGTTAAAAACCGAACAGAAACCGAAACTGAAGCTTAATGGCTTATTGGTATCAGGTTAACAATTTAACGGACGGGGAATGGATTGAATTTTTTTATTAACAGCTTATCGATTTGGGGACGGTATACATATAAAATTTATTTTTATCCATATATATATATTAAATAATCAAAAATCATTTTTCCTCTAGTACTCTATCAAAGTGAATTAGAATAAAAGAAAGTCAAATAAAAGGAGTCATCTAACTGTGACAAAAGACAGAATTTGTTGTCTGAAACAAGATAACAGCACCAGTTACACCACTGCTTCATCAGCTTGCCTAGGTTTTAAGGCATCCTAGAATCTAAGCATGACGAACATAAACATAAATAAGATTCTAGACATATGATTTACCCATCACGGTGTCTCTTCTGCTTCGTCCCTCTTAGTACGTCAACCACCTATTTAAACATACAGAGACTAGATGTTATTTTATTTTGATTGAATTAGGCCGATAAATCGCTCTATAAGAGCTAAACTGATACCAATCCGCCGGATATCTTATCGATGGCTAGCAAATTAATACATTTAAAAGCCGATAACCGATAAGTCAAACCGTTAAGAGTAAATAACCGCACAATCTGCCCAATAAGCAGTCCTAGCGCTATTGATCTTTTATATAATATAGTGCTATAGTATATTGTTCAAAGATGCAATATATGCTTATAGGATACTATTCCATTCTTTACTTTTAGTGCACATAGTATTCTTGTAATATACATAATAATAAAATTGTTATTTTCTCATTTTCAGCATAAGCAACAAGATTGATCCTTATTTTCGTGAGATGCATAATGATTATGACCAGTTTGAAAGGGGCAATGGTGGGAATGATCTTGTAGTTATTGGAGATAGCACACCTAAAGCGCCTTCTAGTATGTAAATCACAGATTTGATTTTTTATTTTATTTTTTGCTGTTGTTTTTTGAAAATATTACTCTTGATTATACTTTATATGTTTCGTGTCTGATTTTGGTGGGGCTGGTCGAGATGGAGGTGCCAGTGGTGTCAATGTGAAGAACGTCACAGCAAGTCATGGCGTAGTTAATGATGATTTGTGTTATAGTAAAATGTTATATATGTAATTTTTTATTCTTTTTTTATTTATTTAACTTTATGTATTTGTGCGTTCACTAACCTTTTTTTACCTTTTTTTAGCCCCCTTCGTAAATGAGCATGATCTTGGCTTGGATTCTAACTTTGAACTGTCTGCATCTGCAATGGATCAAATCACCGCCATTACACAACAAGCAAAATATAAACACTCATCTCATGATGTTAAAAAGTCTAGACCTGCTCCGCTACCATCAGGAATCCCTGCACAGACACGACCAAATGCTGTTATTGAATCTAATACTGCTCCACAGGGTACAGATGTTGATGTTACTAATTTTGAAGTTAGTATGTAAATGAGAGATTTTTTATAGTTTTTTTAATTTAAATAGTGATGTTGATAATGCTTTTATGTATTCAGCATCTCGGGTTGATGTTGTTGGTCAAGTGGATATTGGTGGGAGTAATGTGAATTTGTCTTCTAGTAATGTCTTCTATATATAACTTTTTATTCTTTCTTTTAAAAAAAAAATCTTAACTTTGTATATTTGTTGATTCACTAGCATTTTCTAATTTAAGCTCCATGTCGACACGGGGGTGATCTTGACTTGAATTCTAATTTTGAATATATTGATTCTCAACTTGATCTAATTGTTGCCATTACACAAGGAGGGAGACGTAATGTAAATCAATCTGGAAATGAACTGACAACTCGTGATGTAAATAAATCTAAACCTGAACAATCGGTATCAAGAGTTGTTGTCCAGACACAAACAGATGTTGAAATGCAATTTTCACACGGAGAAGGCGCCCTGCAGCTGTAAAACAATCGTCGTATAGGAATGACTGGCAATCTGGTGTTAGTGCAGTTGGGGGATCCTCGAAGGTTATCAAAAGAAGATTTCCATTTGTAAATGACATTTCAGTGGCTATTGATTATAAACTTACGACTATATTCTCAAACTTTTTCGAAGCAAACATGCAATTGGGAGAGTGCGTATTCGTTTCCATGTATTTTTGTTTTCATGTTTTCTTAATTTTTGTTGATATATTTCTTATCCATATCTTCTTTTATACGAAATAGGGAAGAGTATTTACCTGGTGATCAAAAGTTGGACCCTTGTTTTGACTTTGAAGTTGAACAGATTGATGATAAGACCTTTTTCATACATTAAACTATTCTCGCAGGTCGTTGTCTAGTTCAGTATGTGTACTGCTTTTTATTTTTGTTGTTGTAGTAGTTCATGCATATTGTTAGTGTTAGTCATGTTTTCTTCCTCTCTTTTTTGCAGCACTTGAATATTATATTCTACTATCTTAGGAAGAAGGCGAAATATGGAATTAATATGTCAATCAAAGTCATAACTACAGATACTCTTTTTAATAATATCAGGTTTTCACAGAATTTGTAAAAGGTGGGAAACAAGATCATTTGATTGATAGATCAGACGACATCATGGAGTACATGAAAGGATTTAGGATGCATTGCAACACTCCATGGCACCAGGTTGATCATGTCCTTTTTCCAATTAATTTGGCAGAAAAGTGGCATTGGATATTGGGGTGTGTATCATTCCACAAGAGATGTTTTTATGTATATGACTCGCTACGTAGTCGAAAGCACAAAAAAGCTATTCAAAAGGTGGCAGAGGTATATGCTGTGTTGATCCCCCTATTTCTAGTTAGCATTGAATTTTATAACCAAAGAAGTGACATTGTAGTACAAAATGGTATGTAGTAGTCAACATTTCCCTTGTAAGTAGCTAGAACAGTCAAATTAAAAAGAGAAACACATCAACTTCTTGATGTTTAAGCAAGCATAGCTATATTAGAAAGGGATAAATCAAGACTTGACCAGCATTGCAGTCTCAATTATCAAGATGTAATGATGTTATTTTTAACCAGTTTATTCCACAACTGCTAAAGTTGCACTATGTTCAATCACGCTGACAAACAAACACTAAATGCAGCAATATAGCAACATGCGGTCCAGGTGCAAAATTTGAATGAGATGCAGACAAAGTATTCACACTTGCCTGTCTCCCAACAAGGATCAATCAAACAAACGCCTCAAGATGGATCAAAGATTTACCATATGCAGATTCGCTTGTTGCACCTTTAGATGGCCACCCATCGCCATATGATGCATAGTATCTAAAGCTTGTAATCTTACAGCCGTTGAATCATCATTAAGTACGTCCATTAAAAAGTCACAACCTCATTAGAAAAATCAGCAGAAAGGATAGCCAATGTTTGCAAAGCTCGGCAAGCAGATTCTCTTACCTTCAATTAAGCAAAAGAGAGTTATACTTGCATATTCCTTATTGTAAAGTTTCTAAAATTAGAGAAAGAGAAAGAGAAGTGACTCTCAGAACATGGCAACAACAAAAAACATTACCTCACTAAATTCATCCTCCAGCCCATGTAGAAAAGCAAAACTAGCACTTGATGCTGGTATCCTGAAATTTTCTTAGTGTACTGGCCAGGAAACTTCATTTCTTTTGTTGCAGATGAAGCTTTCTTAGAGAGCGTTTGTAACAGAATATATTCCGAAACAATTTCAATCTTTCCTAGGGCAATAAAAACTTCAATCCTGACCTTGACACTCATGTCTCGCACCATTGAACATAGCTGCAAGCATATCATGTAGAATGAGAAAGGTGAATCAAAAAGATATCTTGCATTATTGTTTATATGACCATTCACAAGAAAAAGATAAAAAGCACTACTATAAACATCTTATACTCAAACATTTGAAGCATTTACCAGGTATAGTTGAAACAAATTAGAAAAACGAGAAGTGAGAGGGAGAAAGTACATGCTGACTAATTCGGTTTCACACAATTTGATTCACAAGATGATCATGGCAAGATTCAGACACCTCACGGCAACATTGTTGCCAAATTAACAAGAGAAGTATCTCCAACGGTTTCTTCAGATCTCCCTCAGAAACCTAATACAGTAAATGCAAAATGACTCATTACAAATGTTAAATCTCTATTAATATTTTTCAAGAAGTTCATTAGCGGACCAATTTGGGTGCCATCTACCTCTAGAAGCATCATAATTACCATTAAGTTTACTTCTTGTGTTTGCTTCTTTTCTTATATGTAGGTATTTACCTTATTCCATTTCAAACGAAGGGTGGCAAGGGTGAGATATTAACAGAGATGAATTTCATGTGACACCCAATCAGAGAGTTAAATGGAAAAGAAAAAAAAATACCTGCAGAAATAATGCATCAGACCAGTCCCTTTTACTTCTCTCTCGTTTAGATGCCACAATTAACTGCCCGCATGCACTAACCTGGATCAGTGACAGGAGTAAAGAATTAGTCAATGATTATAAATATCCTCTAAGCAGTAAAGGCTCTGATCCTCGATCCTCAGACGTTAATTTTCCTACAGCAGAGAAAATTTAATGCAACAGTAAGTAGGAACAAATGTACATGAAAATTTCAACAATAAACAAAAATGTACATGAAAATGAACCAATTGGACAACAAGAAAGACCCTGTGTATCTTAAAACAAAAACTTCAGCGTTTTATTTCAACACGAAACCTTTAAGGGTTGTTTGGTTGGTCTAGGGAGGAGATTTAATCTCCGTATAAAATCCAACATTATTTTAATGTGGGTTTGCTTCCTACTTTTGTTGTTTTCATAAACAAAAGTTGCATAAGTTATGTAGGAATCTATGTACATCATTTTATGGGGGACAGAATGTTAAATAAGAAAGCGGGTTTTAGCAGTGACGAAGCCACATAATCACAAGGGTGGTCGTCGAAAAATTACATTGTGTACATACGTAAAATATTACATTTTAGAGGTATATAATGCATATTGAACACCCTTTATCGGAAATTTTTTCACTTCTTTTAAATTTGAACACCCTTGGAGAACTTCCTAGCTTCGCCACTGGGTTTTACTAATACATGGACTAAAAATACTCAAATGACATAACTAACCCTCATTACAGTATACAAAATGTTTATTTTTTTAAAAGTAAACACATGTTTTTTCAATTATCTTTTGGCCCTATAAACACAAGACAAGCATCAAATACTGTCATCTGGGCAAAATCCACAACAAATCGTTGGTATAAAAAAGGTAAAAGCCAGAGTTAAGTTGTCACAAACTTAATTCTAGCACAGAAGATAACTAGTATTTGACAACACTTATTTATTCCATTACTGACACATGCCAAAAATTCATAATTGCAATATAATCAACCAAAGAAGAACATATAATTTAGTTCCAATGAGATGTAATGTAGAAACTGGCCAAGAACAAGTCTTATTCAATCACAAATGAACATCTTTCTAGCAAGAGCCTCATCATACTTTATCAAAAATAAAATAGATAAATAACAGCCTCATCATGACCTACAGCAATAGAAACACCTACATACACTATTATGCCTCTATCCAAGCTAGTTGGTTTGGTCATACAATCTCAAATATCCATTGCGCTCCATTTGCACCTATTTTTCATGCTAATATTCAAAATTCTGAATTTTAAACACTAAAGGATCTCTATAAATTTTCTACTAAGATATAAATAATTCATACACTCCAAATAGCTTTTTTCCATAATGCAAATACATCTCAAGCAGTAATATATACACATCAGACTTATTCAGCTTTCGGAGATCTTACTGCACGAACAGCAGAGCATCGCACTGAGTCCTCGGAGTCAAACAGAAGCTCAAAAGCTCGAAGATAGCAACCGTGGATGAGACTTTCATCTTCGACAATAATGCACTTGCACAAATCAGCTAATCCATCCAAAGCAACACCACGAATGTACGGATAGGGGTCCTTCGTAAATCCTAGCAGAACCGTAAGCAAAACCGACGGTCGTATGTCAAATTTACTCGCATTCAAAAGCAACCAATGGCGAACAGAAATACAGGGACGAAGAACGAGGGAGAAGAATGTCGATTCATCGTTGACGTTGATATCTGAGATGGAGAGACACGCGAGGGCATCGGCGAGTGAGCGCGTGGAAGTTGAAGAGAGGAGAGAGAATTCACAGACGGTGGAGATGAGGTTGTGAGGGAGGTGTGGACGGTGATGGAAAAGTAGAGAGAAGAGGCGGAGAATGTGGTGGCTGAAAAAAGGATTCGTATTAGGGTTTTTGAGAGACAGCGTTAGGGTTTTGAGTATGGATGAAAGTGTGGAGTCGGAGGTGGAAGGGTTGACGATGAGAGAGGGATCTTGTCAGAGAGCTTGAGGCATGATGTTCTCGTTGATCTCCAAATTCCTCCGGAGGTGGTGTTCCATCGGCGGATGACGGCGGCGGACAGGGACGGTGATTCGTCGCCGGCGAAGGGTCCCCTTTATTAATGACTCCCCCCATTTCAACGAGGTACTTGCTTTTTAGTTCACTAGTTTTAGGGGTCGTTTGTTAGGGTGTATAAGAATAGTGCGCAGTAAAGTGTATTAGTAATGTGTGGATTAGTAATGCAAGCATTAGTTATGTAGATATTATTTCTTATCTACTATTTGGTGTGGTGTATTAAAATTATAATGTATTGCATAATTTTTAAGAAAAATAGTTGTTTACAAAATGTCATCCATATTCCCTAGCTTTAAGGGACTTTAAGGACAATTTTGTCTTTAACCATACTAATGCATGCATTAATAGTTATATTACAAATTGTGAAAGCGTATGAGATGATTGAACTCTTTGGAGCATTGGCTCAAGTGGTAAAGTGAGTTATGAAATAAAAGTGAAAGAAAGAGAAAGAGTTATTAAATTGTTCCTTTGCTGGGATATTGTTGCTTTGTTGATTATCTCCATTGTCGGGATGTTGAGATTATTGATGTTGTTCCCTTGCCGGGATTTAATTGTTTAATTGTGTTCCCTTGCCGGGATTTAATTGTTTAATTGTGTTCCCTTGCCGGGATTCCTATTATTATTTTGTTTATTCATTTGCCCCTTTGTTTGTGATTGTTATTTGGGTGAGGAAGATTGTTAAAGCACGAAAGGTGATGTCGTGCATTGTTTGTTATTGTGAGAAAAGAGTGTAAAGCACGAACGGTGATGCCGTGCCGCACGACGTACCATTCCGTGCCGATTCTATTGATTATATGGTGAGGAAAGAGAGTAAAAGCACGAAGGGTGATGCCGTGCACAATTGATTATATGATTGTTTTGGTGAGGATGAGAGTAAAAGCAAGAAGGGTGATGCCGTGAACATTTTTTATTATATAACTGCTTTGGTGAGGCTGAGAGTAAAAGCACGAAGGGTGATGCCGTGCAA